AGGGCAGGTTTCTGCAGTGGGTGGTGCTGCCATGGGGTGACTGGAACCATGTGGGTGGGGAGGCAGTCTCATTGGGGGCTCTTGGGGACACTCTCCTTTGTTTGCTAAAAATGCAGATTTCCAGAGGGCACTGATTGGTGTTTGTTTGTTTTCCTGAAACAGGGACAGCAGACCAGTAAGTTTGGAGATCTCTGACCGAGAGAAAACAACCCAAAGAGCAAGGAACTTGTGTGCTAGAGAAAGGAAACAACAAAAAGCCAATTAGAAGGCAGGGTATGTGCTCATGTTACCATTTAAGAACTTCTTAGGATGGTAAATTAAATAACATCGAATTCCCCAAACCACAGACGGGACTCACAGGTTGTTTAATACCTTGCATTTCAGTTTATTTTCACAATCATTTCTGTGTGACTCGATGAGATACAAGTGAAGGATTATCAGCTATTTTTTAGAGGTAAACAGAAGAACAGACACAGTTCATGAACCTACTTTAGAGAAAACAAGTGGCAGAAAAATGTCCCTTGACTCCAAATCCAAAATTCCATCCAGAACGGCACACTTACTACTTTCGGGGTGGGGAGGTGTTGAAGATTCGAAAGGGTAGGGACACACCCAAAAATGTCAAGGAATTACTTTTAACTGCTCAGGGATCACTACTGGCAGCGGCAGAGATTGGGCATGGATTGAACAGCCACATACGCTTACTTGCCTTACCCACTGTACTATCTCTCAAGCCCTGGCTTGCTTATTTTTTGTGTGCAATGCCAGAGACTGATGTCAATCAAGTCAAATACTTGCAAGGTAAGCACTGAGCTCTATTCCCAGACCCCAGCTCAATGTTTCAGGAACAGGGCCAAAGAGATGATACAGTGGGAAAGACACCTACCTTCAACACAGTTTGATTCCCAGAACCCCATGTGGTCCTCTAAGCCCCGCCAGGAGTCATCCCCTAAGCACAGAGCCAGGAGTAAGTCTTGAGCGTCGCTGGGTGTGGCACCAAAAAACAAAAAATTAATTAAAGAGTAAAGCAATGGATACATACCAAAGTTAATAGTAGGTCTGGAGAACCACAGACCAGCAGCGCAAGAAAGGCCTCTGCACTCCTATATCCACTGCAGCATTATTCAGAGTAACCAGAACTAGGAAACTATCTGAGTGCCCAGGAACAGATGACTGAAAGATGCGAGGATACAAAAACACAATGGAATATTATGCTGCCATTAGAAAAGATGAAGTCTTGAAATTTGCCTATGAATGACAGATCTGGTGAGTAACATGCTTAGCGAGATGAGTCAGAGGGAGAGGGGCAGACACAGGACGATCTCTCTCATATATGGGATAAAAGAAAACATAGTAGGGAAATAACTAATGCCCAAAGACAATACAAATGAAGGGCAGAACTGGTCCTGAATAGAAAGCTTGTGACAGTGGGGGAGGGGGATAATATAACAATGATGGAGGGAAGTGGTCACCCTGGACAAGAACTGGGTGCTGAAAGGAGGTCAAATGATATGCATGACACCCTATCAGTGACCGTGCTGCAAAACACAGTGCCTAAAAGAAAAAAGGAAAAAAAACAAGTGGGGTGGGGGAGAGAAACAGGAGACACTGGCAAAGGGAGGAAAATGGACACTGGGGAAGAGATAGGCGCTTGAACACTGTGCTCACTACTGAAACTCAGTCATGAATAATTCTGTAACTCACGGTAACTAAAAATCTAAATCTAGATTCCCTGGCTAAAAACATAGTGGCTTTGGAGCTGGAAAGAGGGCTGCGGGGAGGGCGGTTGCCTCGCACATCATCAGGTTCTATCCCCGGCACCCCATATGGTTCCTCAAGCCTTGCCAGGGGTGAGTCCTCAGCACAGAGCCAGGATTAAGTCTTAAGCGCCACCAGGTGTGGATCAAAACCCAAAAAATAAATAAACAAAAAGTCTTGATTTTAGATACTAGTCAAAAATAAAGCATTACCTTAAGGTTGCCAGTATGCTGTCCCATCTACTTATTTCTTCAACAAAGGCTGGGATAAGGAAATTTACTATCTTCTCCTACGTATCTGTGAGCCAATTTTCTTAAGCTCAGGCACTCAGACACATCAAACACAGTTCTTTTTAAAACTTTATTAAATCGTTGTGATTGACCCTATCAAAGTCGCTCATGATTGGATTTCAATCATACAGTATTCCAATACCCAGCCCTCCACCAGTATATATTTCCCAGTACCAGTGTCCCCAGGTTCCCTCCCATCATCCCCTACTCCCCACCTGCCTCTATGGCAGGCGCTTCTCTTCTCTCCCCTCCTCCACTCTCTCCCCTCCCTCTCTTTCCAACCCCCTTTTTCAGCACTGTCATTTCCAATACTGACACTGAAAGGTTATCAAAAATATTCCTCTACCTACTTTTAACACTCAGTTCTTGTCCAGCGTGATCATTCCCAGCTATTATTGTCATACCAGTCTCTTCTCTATCTTATCTACCCTCAGCCCCCACACACTTGTGGTTAGATTCAACCACTGACCAGTCCTTCTAACCTTTTATCCCTAGTCATGGATATTAGTCTTCCATATTTTTTATATGCCACAAATGAATTCAGTCATTCTGTATCTGTCCCTCTCTTTTTGACTCATTTCACTAAGCTACTCTCCATGTCCCTCCATTTATAAGCAAATTTCATGACTTTATTTTTCCTAACAGTTGCATAGTATTCCATGGTATAGACGTGCCACCGTTTCTTTACACATTCGTCTGTTCTTGGGCACTGAGGTTCTTTCCAGGTTCTGACCATGGTGCTGCAATGAACGTAGATGGCGTTTCTGCTATGTGTTTTGGAGCCCCCAGGATATATTCCCAGAAGTGGTATTGCTGGGTCAAATGGGAGCTCAATTTCTAGTGTTTTGAGAAACGTCCATATAGTTTTCCAAGAAGGCTGGACCAGTCGGCATTCTCACCGACAATAAAGGAGAGCCCTTTCTCCCTTCATCTACACCAACACTGAGTGTTTTTCTTTTGGATGTGTGCCAGTTTTTGTTGTCAAAAAGTTTTTACCTGGTGTTCCCTCTATCTCTCTCACCTAATTCAGGTTTTCCACAAGAACACTAAATCCCATATGTTACTATGCCCAAGAGACCTAAGCAGTTATATGCCTATTATTCACCCTATATACCACCATTACCAGTATCTTCTGCATCGCTCTTAACATCCCCATCTCCGTATCTCAATAATACAAGTTCCAAATATTCCGAACTAGGGGCTAAAGAGAGAGTACATCGGCTAAGGCACTTGCTTTGCATGCACAGACCCTGGTTTGATGCCATAGAGTTCCCAGAGCACCACCAGGAGTGATCATCCCTGGGTGCAGAGCCAGGAGTAACCCCTAAGCATCTCCAGCTGTGAGCCAAAAAACAAAAACAAATCCAAACTAAAAGCATCATCAACCCTACACATACACACAAACCTGTTTTGAGTGCATGAATAAGGTGGCAACCAACAAACAGGAAGCCGAGAATTCAGCATGGGCAACTCTGTCTCATTCACACCAAGCTCAGCCATCCCCATTCCATGTCCTTGGTTACTTTCTTACTTGTTCCTACTAATACAACTGCAACACTTACTAAATTGGTTGCATTCCTTTTACTTTGTTTTTAGGTCACACCCAGTGGTACTCAGGGATCCCTCCTGGTGGGACTTGGGAGACCATCTGGGGTGTCAGAGATTGAACCCCTGTCGGCTGCATGCAACGCAAGCACCCTACTCACTGTGCTATCGCTCTGGCCCCAAAATTGGTTTGTCATTTCCTTAATAACTACCAAGAACTAGTCACTTCACACACTTCTGTCTCACAATTACTTATTATGTGAGTAATTTGTCTATCACAGTGCCAGGAATCAAACTCAGGATCTGACACAATGCAATGCAAGAGTGAGATGAACCACATTCCGGGTTCCAATGTGTGGGATTTTATCCTTGTTCCACAATGAGAAAAGAGGGTAACCAAATATCAATCTGTCCAAACCATAAGGAGGGGTAGACCAGACACCCAAATGTTCTGCTCTTTAATACTAGTTCTCAGTCCTTCCCTGATTGCCCCAAACATTTCTCACCCCCATCACCAAGATTCTATGTGGTCCTACCCTCAATCTTGCCTTCCTTTCTCATACAGGATATCCCAAGTGATCGTTCTGGATTACCAATGTGATCCTTTAAGCCTCTTGATATAAAGTCCTTTTATATCCAGGAACTCTCCTTTAGTCTCCACTGAGCAAAATCCATTCAACCAGATGAGTTCCCAGACCCTTCAGTACAAAAAGTTCCACAGTCACGGTCCAATACGTAAAAGCGCTGAAATTTTCTATTATGAATTCGCAACTCGAGCCCTGTACCCATGTGAGGCTGCTGTGTATCCCACGAGCATTGGTATTTCTGTCTCACTGCACAAAACACTCAGGTGCTTGACAATAAATTAACCCAGAACCTGCTGGAGTGTTATGTAAGAGACGTTCCCAAGAAAGAGCGAGAATTTCCAAACTACTCTAAAATCCAAAACACACCTGGTCCCAAAGGTTCCAGAAAAGGGGTTGAAGGCACTGTAATTAGCCAGCCCCATTAATTCAACCCAGCACCTTCAGCACACACACACCCCCTTGGCTCCGGGGACCCGCGAGGCCCCCGAGTGCCCTCCAACACTTTCCCAGGCCGGCGTGAGCGTCTCCCCCGCGAGAAGCCTGCTCCCCGGCACTTTGGGCCCTCTCCCCGGGGGCCCCGAGCACCACCTCTGCATCGGTGCCCCTCGCGCAGGGCAGTGCGCAGCCCCCAGTTCATTCATTCCCAGCACACTGCCCAGAACAATAGGGGCTCCTTACCGTACAGCGAACTCCGAAGTCGCCCCGACCGCGGCGGACCCCGGCGCTGCAGGCCTGCTTCGCCGCCCCCCGCCGCCTCCAAGCCCTCCCAGCCCCCGAGCTGCCCCTCCCCGCCGCCCGCCCCCCGGGCCCGCGCGCTCACCCTGCTGGATGTCGCCGTTGCTGCCCCCCGGGATGGGCACGCTGAGCTGGCGCTCGGGCTCGGGCAGGCAGCGCAGGCAGAAGGAGTGCAGGCAGGGCAGCAGCTTGGGCTCGGCCTCGCGCCGGCTCTGCAGGCTCTGCTGACACACGGCGCAGGTGTCCAGCAGCGACGCGGGCGGCGCGGGCGGCGCGGGGGCCCCCGCGGGCGGCGCGGGCGGCGCGGCCGGGGCCGGGGCGGGCGGCGGGGCGGGCGCGGGAGCGGGCGGCGCGGGCGCGCCGGGCACCGCGGGGGCAGCGGCGGCCGGGCCCGAGGAGGCCGCGGCCGCCCCGCCGCCCTCGGCGTCAGCCCGGCCGCCTTCCTCCTCCTCCTCCTCCGCCCGCGCGGCGGCCAGAGGCGGCTCCGCCTCCTGCGCCGCCGGCCCGGCCGCCCCGGCCGCGCCCGGCGCGCCGCCGCCGCCCCCGCCGCCGCTCTCGGCCTCGCCGCCGCCTTTGTTTTCCGCCATGTTTCCTCTTTGAACCCGCCGGACCGCCCCGCGCCCGCCGCCGCCGCCGCCGCCGCCCCCAGCCCGCCGCGCCGCAGCACGAGCGGCGCCCAGCGCGAGCAGGACGGCAGGAGCGCGCGCGCACGCGGGGGCGCGCACGCAGCGCCGGACCCGGAGGGCGGCGGGAACTCGGGGCGCGTGCGCAGCGGCGGGGCGGGGCGCGCGTGCGCGCCGGCGCCGCGCCGTGTGAGCTTTTAAAGCCAGAGCTGCGCGTCACCGGGCGGCGCCGTCGCGGCGGAAACCTGCGGCTGCCCCGCGGGGACTCCTAGGTGCGGACCTCGCGGTCCCTGCTGACTCTTCCTCTGCGCGCTCGAGCCCCACGCTGCGAAATTAGGAGGCCGTTAGGAGAAGAGCGCGGCGGGGGTTCAGAGGCGCCGCTCAGCTGCTGCTCACCTCTGGGGTGGTGGGCGGACCGGATTCGCCAAGGACCAGAACTCCAGTCCCTGGGGAGCTTTTCGAAGCAGAACCGATGAAGCCACACCCTGAGTCCCGAACCAGGAAGTGGGGAGAAGGCTGATGGTGCAGAAAAGCTGCCTCTGCCCGTCCGGGTGTTATGCCAGAGTGGAGGCTGCCTGTCGAGCCAGTACTAAGTCCTGAACACTCCCAGCCCCTGCTGCTCTGCGTCCTGGCGGCTCACGCCGGGTCACATTGCCCTTAGTAATGTAAGTAATGCAAACCGTCGAGGTGGTTTGTATTTGAAGAAAGAAAAGGGCAGGCGCATAGTGCTGTAGGGAGGATTCCTTGCATGCGGCCAACCCGAGTTCTAGCCTCACGTGTGTGTACCCCCAGCACCAGCAGGCGTAATTCCTGAGTGCAAGAGCCGCGTGTGATCCAAAAATAAATAAGAAAAAGAAGCCAAATGGTTTTTTGTGCTCTCTTGTTTTAATTTTGGCTTGTTTGGGGGGGTTGGTGGATTTGGTTTTTACTGTTTTGGTTTTGGTTTGGTTGGTTGGCTGGCTGTTTGGAGGGGCCACATCACGCCTGGTGGGGATCAGAGCTTATGCCAGGCAGACAAGCAGGCCTGCCTCATGCAAGGTCAGTGCACCACCTGCTGTACTAAGTCTGCAGCTGGGGTTGGAAGGGGGTCCCGGGAGTATTGGTAGCAGAACAGCTGATTTAAGATTGAGGCAGAGCACTCAATACCTCTTTTGCAAACCACAGCACCCAAAAGGAGAGAGAGAACAAAAGGGAATGGTGGGGGGGGGGGGAATACTGGGATCATTTGTGGTGAAGAATGGGCACTGATGGAGGGATGGCTACTCGATCATTGTATAACTGAAATCCAAGCACAAAAATTTGTAAGTCTACAACTGTACCTCATGGTGTTTCACTAATAATGAAAAAAAAAAAAAAGATTGGGGCAGAGCAATAGAACAGCTAATAGAGCCCTTGCTTTGTATGCTGCCTACCTTATTCCGTCTCCAGTATCCCAAATGATCCCTCCAGCTCACCAGGAGTAATTCCTGAGCACAGAGCCAGGAGTAGCACCTGAGAATTGTCGGGTGTGGCCCCCCAAAAAAATCAGAAAAGTTTATTTATAGGGACTTGCCTTGCCCTGGGCCAGAGCGATAGCATAGAGAGTAGGGCATTTGCCTTGCATGGGCCTGACCCAGTTCGAGTCCTCCACCTCAGCTACCAGAGTATCCTGCCCGCACAGTGGAGCATGGCAAGGTACCCATGACATATTCGATATGCCAAAAACAGTAACAAGTCTGACAATGGAGACCTTACTGGTGCCCGCTCGAGCAAATTAATTAACAACGGGAAGATGGTGCTACAGTGCCTTGCCTGTGGCTGACCCATTTTGATAACCCACCCAGTCATCGAGCCAGGAGTAAACCCTGACTACTACAGGGTGTGGCACAAAAACAGAAAACTGGTTCATACATTTCTCTCCTGTCATTGTTCCCAAGAAGCTATTCTTAGAGCTGGTCTAGACCTTAAAATAAGCCAAAGAACCATTTCCCTTCATTAGTTCAAGAACATGGACTCCCCACTTGTGTTACACTAGGGAGTCCTGGGCTAGATGCCAGGCATGCCTTAAGCAACCTTTGGAGCAGGGGATCTGTAGGGGTGGGGGGGGGGGGCTCTTGGGCCACAAGACTGTGTTCAGATCTTACTCCTGTTTCTGTGTTCTGGGGTCTCCTGTCTGGCAGTGATATGCCGTGCACCCGAGTAGTCCAATGGCAGCTTGCGAGGCAAGCATCCTGGCCCTGTACTACCTCCCCAGCCCCCAAAAAACCTCTAAACAAATGGAAAGTCAGGTGATGTTTTTGAGACAATACAGCATGGAACAAAAGGGGTTTTCACTTTCAAGAAATTACAGTCTAATAGCACAGCTGGTAGGGTCTTTGCCTTGCATGCGGCCAACCTGGGTTTGATATTCCTCCGTCCCTCCTGGAGAGCCTGGCAATCTACCTAGAGTTATCCCACCCACACGGCAGACCCTGGCAAGCTCCACGTGGAGTATTTGGTATGCCAAAAACAGTAACAAGTCTCACAATGGAGACGTTACTGGTGTCAACGCGAGCAAATCGATGAACAACGAGAGGCCAGTACTCCAGTGCTACAGTCTAATTGAAGCTTGTCAAATGTATGACAGAAAGCAGTGAAGAAAGAGCTATGAAGAAGAAGGGAGGAAGTAGAGTAGAAGAGATGAGAGATGATTAATAAAGCCTCCACAGATAGGTCAGTCAGCCTGTAGCTCTGGCAGAGGAAGAAGCAATTAGTACAAAAGGCCTGAGGCAGGTAGGAATGCTTAGCTTCTTAGAAGAAGGGTAAGGAGTTGGCCAATCTGGAATGGCTTGAACCAGGCAAAGAAAAAGAGAAAGTAAGATAACAATCAAAGGAACCTTTTTTTTAATGGTGTGGTTTTTTTTCAATTTTCATAGTTGTTCACAATAATGGATTACATTCAGTATTTCCACCACCATCACACCTTCCATCCCACCACCATCACACCTTCCCACCACCGTTATTTTGAATTTCCCACCACCACTCAAACCTGCCAAACAGACAGATGTGAGATAATTTATTTGTATTGCCTACTATGAACATCATGCGACGACTGGAATGGGAAAGCATGGGAGTGAAGATAGATGGTCGGCAACTACACCACCTCCGCTTTGCTGATGACATCGTTCTAATAACACCAAACATCAGCCAAGCAGCACAAATGCTGAACGACTTTGACCATGAATGTGGAAAGGTCGGACTACAGCTGAATCTTACGAAGACAATGTTTATGAGAAACAGCCTTGTTCCTGACGCTCCATTCGCTCTCAACGGAACCACCATCTCCGAATGCAACAGTTATATATACCTAGGTCGAGAAATCAACATGATGAATGACCTGGCACCTGAGTTGCGCAGGAGGAAGAGAGCAGCTTGGAATGCCTTCAAGAGCATTGAAGAAATAACTAAAAGGACAAAGAACCTCCAGCTACGAGCACATCTCTTTGATTCCACTGTTCTTCCTGCATTAACATATGCCTCAGAGACCTGGACCCTACGAAAACGGGATGAGAACGCTATTCGGGTCTCTCAAAGAGGAATCGAAAGAACTATGCTTGGAATATCACGATTCACTCAAATGAGAGATAGAATCCGGAGTTCTGATCTTCGTCAAACGCTCAAGAATCAGGGACGCTGTCTCATTTGCCAAGACATCAAAAATCAGATGGGCTGGACATGTAATGAGGTTTACAGACAACCGCTGGACTAGAGCCATTACTGATTGGATTCCACGGGACATCAGAAGATCACGTGGATGCCCACCTACAAGATGGTCAGACTTCTTCGTCAAGACCCTGAATGATCGGTTTGAGGCTCTGCATGTTCCTAGAACGAACAGATACCATTGGGCTACGCTAGCACGCAACCGAGATGAATGGAGACGTTACTGGCACCCACTCGAATAAATTGATGAATAATGGGGATTAAGTGATTAAGTGCCTACTATGAATAACAAAACATAGCCCAATTGCTCCCTAGAGATCTAAAATTTTAGATAATTGGGGTCTGGAGGGGCGGAGCGATAGCACAACAGGTAGGGCGTTTGCCTTGCACGTGGCCGACCCGGGTTCAATTCCTCTGCCCATCTCGGCGAGCTCAGCAAGCTACTGAGAGTATCCCACCCGCACAGCAGAGCCTGGCAAGCTACCCATGATGTACTCGATATGCCAAAAACAGTAACAAATCTTACTATTTGTTGTGAGACGTTACTGGTGCCCACTCAGGCAAACTGATGTCCTGATGAACAACAGGACCACAGTGCTACAGGGTCTGGAGAAATCGCTACAGTGAACTACAGCCAGCTGTTCAGTTCCGAGAATCTTTTGTATGTTTCTGGATCATGGCCATTAATGAGCTTAAATAGTTCCCTGAGGCTGCTTGTGAGCGTGACATCCAGGGTCCTATGAGGGCAGGGAGATGAAAAGGGCTGACCCATCCTCTTCCCCCATGAAATCTGGAGTTTGCTGGCACTAATCCCAAGTATCTTGGCTTTTCATTGGGTTCTGGAAGATGGAAGCCGCCAGGATTCCTAGGGACCAAGTGGAGGGTCGAAATCTGCTCCCTTCTGAGGCACCTAGGTGAAATTGGCCTGGCACACATCCTCCAGAGTGCACTGGACAGTCAGGTTTGGGCCCTCAAGGGATGGGGGTGGAGCTGATCCTTTCCTCCCCACCCCAAAGAGACCCCGAGTCATCGCGCACAAATTGCCTCTCTGGCTCCTGATCAAGTTGCTTAATGGCCATGATCCCAGAGACTCAGGAACAAGTCTCAGAGCCCAGTGGCTTTTGGCAGAAATGCGTCCAGATCCTGCAGTAGATTACTGTCTCTGGGCTGCTCCAGCGGGGGAAAGGGTGTTGTCCTTCCACCTGCTCCCCCTAGGAGGCTCGGTGGCCGCCATACTCCAGAGACCATTGGGCAGTCAGGTTTGGGCCCTCAGTGATGAGACACGCCTGGCCTCACGAGATGGGGGTG